CCACTGGTGAGCCTGTAGACTCCTGAACTGAGACTGGAATGCAGGAAGGAGGGCTGCTCTCAGTGTTCAGGTCAATTGCCTCTCCCTTAAGTGCTCGACTAGTTTTGAATGTGACGGAGTCGTTAGCCAGAAGCTTCCTTAGGTGAGATTAATTATGTGTCGCTCGTCAGTCAGCACTATCTACTTTTATAATGCTGTAATGCTTCCTAGGGACAGTCAACGAGGCCGGATGGTACCGCATTGACAGCTTTTCTCCCTTTTTCCCCAATCTGAATGTCACAATCTTTGACAGATCTCCTAGAGTCAGCTTGGCTCTTGATCCTGAGTTGCTGCTTAGCACCTCTGTGGCGCATGGTTGCGGGTAATGACTTTCACCACTTGGCTCAAAAACAAAGATGGGTGGCTTGGTTCTAACTGGTCTCCCAACAGGGTTGTAGCAGGGGCAACGCCCATAGTACAATGGGGAGTAGCACGATAAAAGCGTAGGAACTGATTCATATATTGCTTCTAGTGAGTAGTGGTGCGTAGTACCTTTCCAAAGGTAAAGCGTTTCACTTCCCTGTTAGCCTCAGGCCACATAGGATACACCTTTCGGTGCTTGAAGCCAAGATATTTAGCAAATTGTGCGAACTCGCCACCATGAAAGGGGGGACCATTATCAGACTTTACCACTTAGGTTACATCATAGGCAGAAAATTTCTGGTTGAGTCAAAGAATCACCGCTCTGGCAGATGTAGAGTGGACCATCTCAGTTTCAGGAGATCTTGGTGTCCAGTAACTTCACAAAAGTCAAAGTTTTCTTTTTTTCTAGGGACCATTGGGCAAGGGATGTCATGGCAGAGGTTCACAGGAAGGCTTAGGTGTTGCAACCTGACAGGGAACATAATATTTCACGATGGAATCAACAAGGCTGTCCGTTCTTGGAAAGCAGACCTTTAAGCACAACAGGCTACTAGTCTTTACCAGCCCTTGATGGCCTTTATGGGCCAATTCCATCGCTCGTTTCTTAAGGGCATCTGGCATTACTGTACGGCTTCCACAAAGCACAAGGTTACCATCCACAGAAGTCAGCTCACTGTCCACGTTGGCAAATATCTTAGGGTATTTGGGTTGACTCCTTCCCCTGGTTTCAGGCTATTCCACTGGCTAGTTGAGATGAAGTGGATTAGTTCTTTTGGTTGCTTCACTGATCTCTTTACTTCGAACCCTAAACGTCGCTTGAGACATCATGAAGTTGACATACTGCTCTGCAGACTCTGTGATGAGATGGCACTTCGTATCACCCTGATGATGCGTTACGATACAAACACATAGATTTTGGTCGCCTCTCACTTTGAAATTGAAGGACGCTAGTTTCCACGCCAGTTCTCAACCCTAGGTGAGGCTCGGAAAATAGGGCTGTTGAAGATGGCTAGCAATGACTTATGATCTGTCACGACTTTTAAGTGACTTCCGAGGAGCTACATAAGGAAGTGATGACAACTCGAAGCGATTGCCAACGCCTCGTGCTCCATTTGAGAGTAGCACCTTTCCACACTCTAAAGGGCTTTGCTGGCATAGGAGATGACTTTGCCAAGTTGAATTAACATGTCACCTAATCCAATAGAACTAGCATCCACAACCAGGATGGATTTCCTGTTGGGGTCAAAGGATGCCATTAGTTCATCCGATGTGAGACTACACTTGAGTCGCTCTAACGCTTCTCGGTGAACATCTTTCCATTTGAATTCAACACTCTTATGGGTGAGGTTATGCAATGGAACTACAATGTCTGCATAACTACGTATGAAAGAAGCCACATATTTGGTCATGCCTGACAGACATCGCTCACCTCAGCATTCTTCATCTTTCCCATAAGACTTGGGTAATTTTGGAACACATTCCATTCCACAGACACAGCATTTACAACTTGTAGTGTTGCGAGGTCTGTAACAGTTTTATATTCAAGATGTTTTGCCATCTACCAGGAGAAATCTAGAGTCAACTGAACAACACTTAGATTCCACTAGCATAGATAAGTTAAAAGCATACACTTTTGTATCACAAGTTTTTAGTCCACGGTCAAACATTTTGACACATCATATCTCACGATGTTTACGCTTGCCTCAGAGTCCACTAAGAACTAGCACATGACACCCATTGACTTCCATTCACACAAATGGAGCACTACCCTTTGTTGGAAAACTTAATGTGAACGTGCATTCATCATCTCAACTCGACGGTGGTGAGTGTGGCTTTGACTCTTTGTTCACTCGGTTAACGGATCATTGGGGCTTGGAATTTTGACATCCCTAATTCCTGTTTCCTTTTCGGTGTGTTCCGCCTCTCTCCTAAGACTGAATTTTCTTAGAACCTCGACAATACTGCGTATAATGACAATATTCTTGGCAGGAGCTGCACTTCTGATTCCAAGCAGGACACCCAGCCTTGGCATCGTCTGGCCAACTTTCTCCACAGTCAAAATAACGAGCTGTTTTGGGCTTCTAAGGGAACACAGCATTGGCACTTCCAGGGGATTCTGCTATGAGACTTTCAATGCTCTTGCTTGGACCAACAAGGGATCAAGTGTCATGGTGGAATCTCTCTGAGCTTTTCGGCAAAGGCGCTGTGAAGTGCATGACTGAACTATTTGAGATATGATTTCCTTGTCCACATCAGTAAATTCACGTGTAGCTGCCAACTGTTGCAGGCGAGAGTGATACACATTTGTGGTTTCATCTGGGTTTTGCCTCACCTGCCGAAACGTAAAAAATATCAAATTCCACACTCTTCTTCGGTTCAAAGTACGCGTCCAACTTCGTTTTGGCTTTTGCAAAATCCTCACCGGTGTTCACTACAGTAAAAGAGCTCTCTGTCCCTTCTTATCACTAATAGCAGCGGCAAAAAAAAGGTTTTTGAGTAGTTTGATCCATCTGCGCCATCGTTGGACAATCGCACCATCTTCATGTATGTTGAACGGTTCGAAGATTGGAAACGCTTAAGCCATCACAAAGACTAGTCACATGGTCACACAGATGGCTATGAACATAAGTATATCACATAAGGCAGTACATATGTATACCACATAAGGCAAGAGAAAGACAGCACACCAGTCATATTGGAATCACATGTAAAATTACTTTATTCCAAGGACACTTGGCTACATGACAAAAGGCTTGTCACGCCTCTGTGTAACGCTGAACACTACAATTGACGACGACAATCGAGAACTAGTAAAGGATAATCATCATAAAGGTTAACGGTGGGTGCCTCAACTATCAGTGAAAAGAGAGAGTCCACACAAAGGGCGGTCTCCTGATATTAATTATCGTGAATTCAATTTTTCGTGTCCCCTTGGGTAGTGTATACCTGAGGGTTGATTTAAAAAATCTTTTATACCCTCCTGGGTAGTGTGCACCTGAGAGTTACTTTTAATCTCTTCTATACCCGGCTGGGTAACGTATACCAGAGGGTCTCTTTCAATTTCTTTTATACCCCGTGGGTAGTGTATACATGAGGGTTACTTTTAACATACTATGCCCTATTCATTAGTGTAGAGCTAAGGGTTATTTATATTTTCTACGCCCACATTGGGTAGTGTATACCATAGGGTTATTGTTATTCTCTCCTATACCCTTGTGGATAGTGTATGGTTGAGGATTATTTTTAATCTCCTCTTTGTCCTCCTTACACGGCAGTCGTGTTAGATGATGTTAATTACTGTGAATTTGCTCACAATGGCCTAAAATGCGAAAATGTTGTTTTAGAGAAACGTAAAGACCAGCTTCTACCCTGTTATTGACGATTTTTGCAAGAATGCTGTCTTTGGAAAAACTAAAAGTGCTGCTCCAAAACCGTCAAACTTAAAAGGTCCTTATAAGAATAGCGCATTACGCCGGAACTTGTAGACAGAACAGGGAAACCGTCAGTTGAAAGCAATGTGTGTTCCCTGTTTTACCTAGTCATCAAAGTTTCTGGACGTTTAAAGCCGAAAACCATGACCTGCATAAAAAGGGTTTATTGGAGTTACCTCAAATAGGCGTAGGCCTTCGATGACGGAGGTGAAATCAGCTTTACTTGTGCCGCTATTTTTGAGTTTCTCATTTTCACGTGTTTTAAACTGTTTCTGCTATATGTTGCTGAAAAATTTGGACAGGACTATGTGTGGAACTTGTATTAATGATTTACCGTTATACTCTTTGAGACATGGATTTTTTGTACATAGAAATGCCGATTATTTCGACTTAGAATAGCATAACAAGCTTAAATGATTCAACTGCACGATGTAGCTGAATTGGTTCCACCAGGTGAAAACGTGTAAACTGCCCAAATTGCACAATGTATCTCAATTGAATAAAGTCCTATAAACTGTTAAACTAGCTTAAATGGTCAAACCAGCTCAAATGGTTCAACTGGACAAAATGCATAACTAGCTTAATACCTTCAATTGCACAAAGTGCACAGTCTAGCTTAACTGGTTAAAGCTGTTAAAACCAGTTTGTTCGGTTCAACTGGTTATGTAACCAAATTAGGAACAACAGTAATACAACTTAAATCGATTGAAAATAAAATTAACTTGAGCGAGTTGAGCTAACTTAATTGGTTAAATGGTCTAACGCTTTGATGGTTCGACTCGAGAAATGGCATAACTAGCTTAAATGGTTCAACTGCAAATGCTAGCAAATCGATTTAACGAATTAAATCATAGAACACAGTTAAACTGCACAAATTGCAAAATCTATTTTCACTTGCTGAAATAGGTCAAATGTTAAAACTTGCTTGACTGATTCAACTGGACAAAATGCTCTACTATCCTAATAGGTTTAATATAATCTTCATTGGTTCAGATGGTTAAATAGTTAAACCAGCACAACTGCACAAATTGTTCGATTTATCTTACTTTGCTGAAATACATCAAATGCTCAAACTAACATATATATATATATATATATATATATATATATATATATATATATATATATATATATATCAATAATATGATTTTTACTATTTGGAAATATATGAAATATGCCTTAATTGTTTTGATTTTGAAAGAGTTAAACTAGCTTAAATGACAAATATGTAACTTTCTAGAGTGATTGAATCGGAGAAAATCTTAATTCTTAAATATCTTTATTTCGTTAGCTACAAAAACAACGCAAGCTAGCTCGAATGCTTCTAAGTAGCCTAAATAATTTACTGGACAAAATGTAAAATTAGCCTAGTCGGCTTAACCGCACAAACTACACAATCTAGCTGAAATGGTTTAACTGATTAAATAGTCAATTAGCAATAACAGTGAAACTGCACCAACTGCACAAACTATCTTGATAAGCTCCAATGGTCGATCTAGCTTAAATAGTTTAAAAAGACACAATGCATAACTAGCTAGAATGGTTAGACTGGACAAAATGTGTGGCTAGCTTCGATGGCTCAACTGGTTAAGTAGTCAAACTAGCAAAGACAGTCCAAATTCTATTTTCATTGGTTTAGTTAGCTCAAATGCTCATACCACTGCACATACTGCATAATTTAGCTGACTGGCTTCAATGGCTCAATTGGTTAAATAGCGAAACTAGTAAAGACAGTTAAACTGCGAACATATTGCACAATCTATTTTGATTGGTTGAGGTAGCTCAAATGGTTTAACTGGTTAACTAGTCAAACGAGCAAAATAAATAAACTGCTGAAATTGCGCATTAGATCTTAGTTGGTTAAGGAAGTTCAACGGTCGCTCTAGCTTAAATAGGTCAATAAGAAAAAATGCATAACAAGGTGTAATGGTTCAACTCGAAAAAATGCATAAAGAGGTTTAGTGGTTTGGTTTAACTGGTTAACTAGTCAAACGAGCAAAATAAATAAACTGCTGAAATTGCGCATTAGATCTTAGTTGGTTAAGGAAGTTCAACGGTCGCTCTAGCTTAAATAGGTCAATAAGAAAAAATGCATAACAAGGTGTAATGGTTCAACTCGAAAAAATGCATAAATAGGTTTAGTGGTTCAATTCGTCAAATGTCAATCTAGTGATAACAGATAAACTGCCCAAATTGCACAGTCTGTCTTCATTGGTACAATCAGTTCAGATGGTTAAACTAACTTAAATGGTTCCACTGTACATTTTGTACAGTCTAGCCTAAATGAGTCAACCGCAATCTACCTTGATTGGTTAAAATAGTTCATATGGTTGAACTAGCATAAATGCTTTAACTGGACAAAATGCATAACTAGCCTGATAGCATTAACAGCACAAACTACAAAATCTAGCTAAATTAAATACTCTCGTTAAATAGTCAATACTCAAAGTAGCGGAAACAGTTTGACTGCACCAATTGCAAAATCTATCTAAATTGGTTAAAGTTGTTCAAATAGTCATGCTAACTTTAGTGGCTCAACCAGACAACATGCTTAAATAGCTGAAATTGTTTAACAAGTCAAAAGTCAAACTTGCAACTACTGTTTTTTTGCACAAAAAGTGCAATCTATCTTAATGAGTTAAAGTCGTTCAGATGGTAATATTAGCTTCAATGGTTTAACCAGGCAAGATACATGACAGCTAAAAAGTTCAAATGGTTAAATACTCAACCCAGCAAAAACAGTTCAACTCAAACACAATGCGCAAGCTGTCATGATTGGTTGAAGTACTTCAAATGGTCAAATTAGCTACAATGAATCACTTGCCCAAACCGAACAAGCTAACTGAATTGGTACAAGTAGTCTTGATAGTCAAACTTGCTTAATTAGTTTAACCGGTTAATATAATAATATAATAGCGCCGATATCAATATTGCTATTTTCATCAGCGAAATATCTTGTTAAATAGGCAAACTTAGCAAAACTATTAAAATGCGCAAATTGCACAATCAATCTTAACTGGTTGAATTAGTTTAAACGATTAAATGAGCTGAAATCATTGAAATGGACAAAATGCATAACAACCTTAAATTGTTTGACTGCACAATCTAACGTAACAACCAACTCATTAAAAAAGTCAAACTACCCTAGTTGGTTGAAGTGGTTCAATAGTCAGACTAGCAAAGACAATAAAACTGCACCAATCGCAATATCTATCTAAATTAGTTCAGGTAGTAAAAATAGTGAGACCACCTTAAACTCTTCAACCGGACAAAATGTATAAATAGCTTAAATGAATCAACTATGCAAACTTCACAATTTTGATTGCTTTAACCGGTTAAAAAGTCAAACTAGCGAAAACAGTAAGACTACACACATTACGCAGTCCATCTTAAATGGTTGAAGAAGTTCAAACGATCAAATTAGCTTAACTGTTTCAACTGGAAAAAGTGCACAACGAGCTCAATGGGATCAACTGCACAAACTGCAGGATATGGCCTAATTTGGTGAAGCTTGAAAATAGTCAAACTAGCAAAAACAGTTCAACTGCCCAAATTGCACAATCTATCTTAAATGGTTGAAGTATATTCCAAACAACCAAAGTAGCCTAACTGGTTCAACTAGGATAAGTAGCTTAGTAGGTTTAAGAGCACAAGCTGCACAATCTGG